TGTACAAGAAAACCCCCTTAGGGTGTGCATTTTCTAGGTCGAGGTACAGGACTTAAATGGATTATAATAAGCCAATAAATAGAATGATTAAAATAAATAAAACTATTTTCAAGAACACTTCGAATCAAACCTGCGTACAGGTAAAAAGCAACAAATGAGTTTATAATCTTATGTTAAACCGTTTATTATAAGGTACATTACATATGATAGTTTTGATATAAGTGCGGTTTAAAACAATTATTTAAGTATTGTTATTATAGTGGTTTATTTTAAAAGTCCCACCCCATGGTAGAGACTATAACCGTCTCGTTGTTTATTTTAGTTAGACGACACGTACTACCATTAACATTAGCTTCCTTTATGTATGATTTTGGGTTACTTAAACTTCTCTTCAGTCCTTTTAACCGGCACATCCCGCGATGTCTGATATTACCCATATGATTTCCAGCTTAAAAAATTAAAAAGGTTTGCTTAAAAATTTGCAAACTTAACTTACTGGTTACTACATTTATTCAGAGTGTAAGGCATAACTAATACGCGTGATAATACTCTATACAGATTGTCCCTATTGTACAGCTAACCGTAGTTTCATAATTTAATTTATTAAAAACTTAAGAGGCGTTTGTATAAAAATTAAAAAATTGCAAATGGAACTTGGAGTTTTTCATTGTTTAATAAAACATTGTCGTAGTTTGTTTGTTAGTTGCTAAATAAAAACTGTATGTTAGGGGTTGCTAAATATTATAGATTTTCAAACAACCTCTTTAATCATTACTTATTTTATTAATTGATATAAAATCTGTAATATTTTTTTTATTTTGTTGTGGATTATAACTTCTTAAAGTTCTTGTGAAATAATAGACGTTGAAATGTGTGTTTAGTGTCAGACCCATAAAAATAAATGGAAATTTAAAAAATGAACTTATATAAACATATATAAATTAAAATTGTCTTAATTAAATTTCTAACTTGTATAAAAATATTATTTTAATATATTCATTATATAAACAAAGAATATAATTAAAGCATAAAAAAAAGTAATTTAAAATGGCCTTAATATACTTTTTTAAACGACCTCCATTAAACGTTACAAATAAAACTATTACAATTGGATATTATAATATTTACATGCTACATCGTTGAGTAATTTTATAGTAACATCCTTAATCAAATCTCTTCTCGTATCTGCAAGGTCTGACAACCTACAGGTTTCAAAATCTGTAAAAATTAATTAATAAATATCAAATGTATTATACATAAAAAAAGAAAAAAATGAGTTGCTCGTGACATTATTGAAGCACATAACAACATTTTATAATTTTTTTTACAATTTAAAAAAAATCTTTTTAAGCATTTTTGGTATTGTCGTTAGGCGATAGTGTTTCACTAATATATTTGCATAGAGGTAAATCGTCCTCTGCAATTTTTATTATAATTATTTTGTTTCATATAATGTATAGTAGCTACCTTTTGGATCACATAGAAAACCAACTTTTCTCAATATAAAACACGCTACACCTAGTATTAACAAAATTATGAGTTCAACTATAAAACAATCATCAAAACTTTTAGTAAATAAACATATGGCTTTAAGACACTAAACTCAAATTGAAATTAGATTTTGATTAGAAATAATTTATTACTATTTTTGAAATTGTGCATTTATAAATTTTAGTATTTACGTGAGACAGTGGATATTTCTTTTTGCAAGTCAGTCTGGTAGCCTATGCATTCTGAAATTGTAACAAAAAAGGTCATCAACTTTAATTTACATCTTTTCTTAAGCTTAATATTTAAAAACATGATAAATCTGAATTTTTAGAAATTATACATGTATGTCTATGTAAAGTATTCTAAATATAAAATATGGTAGAGTAATAATTACCCTGCAGTTTTTCTTTACTGTTTTCAATAGATTCATCGAGTGCCATGTCTGAAATTAAAACAAGAACATTTTAAATATGAAAACAAACTACACTTTGCAAATACATGTGAAAAATACTATTACCTGGTGCAACCAACATAAAAACAACTTTATCTAAAATTTACATTACATAAATGGATTAGTTAATGATATTGGATTTAGTTTTTTATTATATTATAATCAAAATATAAAAAATTACCCATCGGTGCCTGTCCACAAACAAGGGATTGAATTACCTTATGCATCTTTACTAGAATAAACAAATATTGGGTCAAGAAAATAATGAGTTATAATAATAAGTGATCAACTTTAAATTTGTTAAATGGTTACTGTCTATATCTAAGTACGCCCTATGTAAACTACAGAAACTGCTGCATGAAATATATACTTGTACATTATTTGATTTTTATTTATAAAGTATTTACAAAGTGATAAAACGATGATACTATACATTTTGTGCACAGATTACAGAAACTATAATATTGAATTTATTAATCAACCTATACTTTGGAAAACTTGACAAAACAATAATTATTATGTGTCAGTTTAATAATTTAAGATATATATAATTACCTCCTGCCCTCTTAATTTGTCTATCTGTAGTTAATAAACTAAAATTAGTGTATGCAAATAAAGTTAAGTTTGTATAATAAAAGAATAAAATACTAACTTGTGTAGGCAACCTCCTTTTTGTAGTCGGCTGTAAAAAAGTTAATTTATTGTATTTTTTTAGATTTTTTAATTCCTTCCAGTAAGCAAGTGTGAATATAAAATTTATAATAATTACCTATGTTAACTGCTAAAATAGTAACAACGGCGAATGATATTAAAAAACAAAAATGTTTCATTTTTGTCTGCAAAAAATAATAAACATAAAAGCCTTGTGCATTCGACAAAGTTGTCAATTAATTATTGGCTCCTACTCTGTCTCTTAAATTCTCCTAGCACGTCATGATTCTGACAAAATATATGTTAAGTTAGAAAAATCCCAAAAAAATAGGCTTTTCCAAAAAAAAAAAATTATATGTATATAAATTGTTCCATCAAATTGAACCACTTTAAAAAAAACTCTGAAATTACAAATGTCTTATAAAAACTGTAACGCAATCCTGTTATTGTTTAAAATCCCTGACCATTGGGATCAACAACCTGATCTATGTGGTTTTTTTTTTAGTATTTTCAGGGTCATAAACAAGGGATTATGCTATAATATTCGAGAGATATTTATTATTTCAGGTTTTTTTTTATCTTGGTTAAATTTTATGTTTTTTTCAACAATAACATTAATTTCCTCAGAATCTTGTCTTCCTAGAACAATTATTTTAAAGACAGATTTGGATTCCTCGCTAACAAATGTAACTATTAAAGGTTGGTTTCATCCTTTGGAAAAAACCCACCCTAAATTTTGCCACATCGTGTTATCGACGATAACCTAACCTAACCGTGCTTTAGTGCTGGTATTTAGAAGGTTTTAGTTTTACAATGATAACTGTCGGTAGCCAATTTGTTGACAAGAAATCGTATTTTAATGATTCTTTCCTAGATAGAAGGTCATAATAAAAACATAACATATTTTTATTTAATATTGTAAACCCCGTATTTCCGTATTAGCCCGTTATTTTCACAACCTGTAACACAAGGACTTTTACACGTTTATCGGTAGTACTATATCTAAAAAATATTACATATAAATTTGGAATTAATTTGTCTATTTTTAAAAAGTTTACGAATTGCCGTACTTTTAAGTTGTAAAATAGGTACATTCTATGAGTGTTTTCTTAATATTAATGGCGATAAATAAAGTATCTTCCAAGTGCAATTTCTGATGTATACATAGAACTGCTACATAAAATAATGTGTTCAACAGTTTAGTATTACTTAGCCCTAAATTGATATCATAACTGTTGGAAAATAAAATGTATATATTTCATGAACTTTTTAAATAAAAATAAAAAATCCGTTCTTTTTACAAGATTATGTTAGGTTGAAACATTTTCATATTTCTTTGGTTGTTTTTCCTAATTTTGAATGAGTACATTTTAAATATTGGAACAAATGAGGCACATTTCAGATTTGATTTCTGATCAATACAAAACGATGTAAAATTGTCTGTACTATATCATTAATGACATAACCTAGCCGTTAAAAGTTTAGCGCAAATCTAAACATGAGCATAAAAAAATACTATATGAGAAAAACTTAATAAAAATGCATTAAAAACTCACTGGTAATCTTTGAAACTATGGTAGAACTCTTGAGAACTTGTATGTTAAAACGACCGTTTTAAAGTGATGGTTTTGAGACTTTTTCCCCAAAACGGTAAAATCGGAATAAGTCTTACAAAACGCAAATATATTTTATGTATACAGATGTAATGGAAAGTTTAAGCTACTGTCTTTTAGGTCTTACAATCGCACCATTGTGTGCATAATTCCAAATTTGTAAAATCGTTCACGCGGTTGTGTATTAATTTTTTTTTTTAAAATAAGTCAGTGAAAAACAATTGTCTGTTTTTTCACACAATTATTCAAGGTCTTTTATATACTGACGCATTTCATACTAGGAAAACACTGAGCACATACCGTTATTAAGTGTTTTTACACTCGAACGTTTTTTCATGTCAACACGAATTTAATGCAAATAACAGCCTGACTTTGAATGGTACTGCCAATACTTATGCTTATTATTTTGATAAGCACCTAACCTGCGGTTACCACACTTAAAAGAAAAACGCAATATTCTCGGCTATCGACTAAATATGCTTCGAACTCTTCTATACAGAAAACGAAATACCAGTAAAACCAAGCTCCTTCCACTACAATACCCTTTTGAAGCCAATTTGGACCTATGATAACAATATTAACGGGGAATCAGCAAAAACTTCGAAACACAAAAACTTTTCAGGCCTAAAAATGCGTTTTACTGTTTTTCTAAATTGCTAACTAAATTACTTATTGCGTAAATTATCGAATATATTGTAAATATTTTGGCAAATTAAAAAAAAAATACATTAATTTAAAACTTAGTAATTTTTTTTATACTTTTAAATACATGCATTACTATATTTTTCCATTTTTAGAAAATTTTTACATTTATCGCTTGCGTAAAAGAAGTATGGACTATGATATATTTTCGTTCAGTTTTTACAATAGTACCCAACATTTAATAATACTGACCCCGTCGATAAAAATGACACTGTGTTTAAATAGGGTTATAAGATCTGCCTAGTCATAATAACCTAAAAAAAATGTATCTGGTTGTTGGTGTGCATGCCTATCGGACAACGTATCAATATGAATTTTATGGGCTACTGGAATTTGGGAACCGAAGATAAAAGATAACATTATAAGGTGAAAAGTAATATCTCTGCAAAGGTATAACAAACGAACGGATTGATATAAATTAAAAAACTCAAACAATAACAATTTTAAAAAAAATTATCTACGTGGTAATGGAATTAAAATTATATGTTACCAATTAAAAACTCCAGATCCATATTTAAGGGGTAATAAAAAAATATTCAACGCATTGAAAAATATCCATACATTATTCTAAAAAAATGTTTGTCCTACATCAGATGGATCACTCATCTCACCCCGTATATAGTCACTATAATATAGTGCATATTTTTATTTCATATAATATTAAGCGTATAAGTAAAATGCAAACAGATTTTCTTATAAATAGTTGAACTGATAATACATTATTAACACCTCCACATATTTATGTATAAATGTTTAAACACTGTAGAATTTCGAGTAAATCTTTTTTTTTTTTTCTTAAAGTATTTTTACAAGCAGAAGTTTTAAAATATAAACATGTTAATTATAGAGGCTGCTTATTTTAAGATTTGGGGGTGCTATCCCCTAAGCCTCTCCATAATTTAGCCTACGCCTATGTAGTGTTTTTAATCGTTTAACATGTAAAAACTATTGTAGATCATGCTAACTTTTGAAATTTAAATTGCATTGTTAAGTACCTCAAAGAGGGTCAAACTCCAACGACTTAAGTCAGCTGCGAATAATGAAAATATTTTTCTTGTTTTATTATTTTGTAAACAACTAGTATTATTTATTCAACCTAATATATGTCTTTCCATTAAATTAAAAGTATAATTTTTAACCGAATATTTCAAATTCAATTACTGGTATTGATTTATTTTTTATTTTAACTTACAAATAAAATTGATAGGCCCGAGTAGATTAATATTAGGGCTATAACGGTTAATAACACTATTTTAGTTTGGTCGTCGGTAAATATCTTCAAAGACGACCAATAAAAAATGTAATCTTTATTCAAAAATAAAATAAATGCATTATAAAAGTAATCCGTGATGAGTAGATAGTGTTAGAAATAACGGAGAGGTGCGGATTAACTATCTTATAAATAAAGATGGGATTCCGAGAAAATATCGTTAAGTTAAATAATTGTATTGGAGATCCGTAAAGGCGGCGCTTTATTACAAATATACCGAGCCGGCTTCTCCTAACTGATAACGACTGTCGGATTTATACTCATTTGAACTTCTTGGAGTCGGTGTATTCGTAGAGAGTCCTTGATATCTAGATGTGTTTTCTAAATATAATATAGCTAACAATAAGGGTCTGAAACAAAAGTTGTAGACAGACAAACGCATTAATTGTATTGACTCTCTCTTACGCTGGTATCAACACCGGCCCCGTCTGCTGCCAACCGAAATCCTATTGGAAACTCTTATTGTATAACTATAGTGGATTGCTGAAATAATTTTACTTTATCGCTAGAGGAGCTAACATTTTAATCAAATTTAGACAACCACTTCAATATGTATCCCACACTTGTACAAGGAAACCCCATTAAGCTAAGTATTTTCCAGGTCGAGGCACAGGGCTTAAATGGATTATAATAAGCCAATAAATAGGATGATTAAAATAAATAAAACTATTTTCAAAAACACTTCGAATCAAACCTGTGTACAGGTAAAAAGCAACAAATGAGTTTATAATCTTAAATTAAACCGTTTATTATAAGGTACATTACATATGATAGTTTTGATATAAGTGCGGTTTAAAACAACTATTTAAGTATTGTTACTATAGTGATGTATTTTAAGAGTCCCATCCCGCGCTAGAGACTGTAAACTTTTCGTTGTTTATGTTAGTTAGATGACACGTACTACCAATAGCTACAGCTTCTTTTATATATAAT